AAGTGTAAGTTTCTGTGATTCGCTGGAACCATTTTGTTGCGTTGTTCGGCGAGTAGCCTCGCGGCGGACGGCAGAGCTGTGGCGTGCTGAGTTGCGGTTCTTTGGAAGCACGGCACATGCGACAGCTCACGGGATGTGGAATGGGCGCCTGCTTGTGTCTCGCGTTCCTTTCCATGCTTTTGCCGGTGGCGTTCGACGCGTGACCCTGAACCAAACCTCGGGCAAGAATGCAAGATTTCGCTTGTTGGTCTAGGCTGCACCTACCGTTGCTTATCTGACATTCTGGCTAGCATGCATCATGTTTTCCTGTCCTGGAACCATATAATTTCGGAATTCCTGTGTTTGATCGTCGTGTTACTGTGTTCGGAACAGAACGAGGGACATGGCAATTGGCATGAGGTAGAGGCACCACTTCGTCTGTTGCTATTTTGATGGGCTGTCCATTCTGGCATGGCCCAAGGGCCAAGGCTCATAATGATTGGTGTCTTTTGTCCGTTCTGATCTGGCAAATGGAACTATTGCTCCGTGTGTTATCTCCCTTCGAAAACCTTTATCTTGCCATCTTGGCATCTCAAAAAATGGTTTCACCAGAAGCATACTCCGCACGTTGTCGCAAAATTTTCTTAAAAATAAATTTATATACTGTGTGTGTTTGTATATATATATATAGCTGGCTACAAAATAACTTATTTTATAGCCACTTTGAGTTACGATAATTATTATGTTAATTTATGAGATTATAGTAACTCCTTACTAAGTGATTTACTATAATGTTATGGTAAATATCCCCATATGTTATAGGAACCCAACTATCGTAAATACATATTAACATTATTGTAAATTAGTATATATATGAATTTGACTTGCATGTTATTTTATTGTATCGGTCTGATAAAAAAAATAGTAAGCTCATAGAAGAAAAACCAGTAGAATATTTGATCACATTATAAAAGAATAGGTGATGAAACAAATAGGATATGTAAATGAATTTACGTTAATGGATTAGAGATTAAAAGTATTGCACGTAATAGAGATGTTGTGGATATTTTTTGTAATTAATAAGGGATGACATAACTAATAGAAGAAAAATCAATAGAATATTTGGTCACATTATAGAAAAATAGGTGATGAAACAAACAACACTTGTAAAAGACTTTACGTTAATAGATTAGAGACTAAAAGTATTACACATAATAGAGATAATGTTGATATTTTTTTTGTAATTAATAAGGGATGACATGAATAGCTTGCATGAAAGGATTGCAAGTTAGTGGCACACATAGTGGGAAATGATGTGGACACTTTGCATAAAGAGAGAAAACATCTATTGGGGTTTAGTTTTTTATAATTAATAAGGGATGACATGGATAGCTTGTATGAGAGGATTGCAAGTTAGTGGGACACTTAGTGAAAAATGATGTGGACACCTTGAATGAAAAGAGAAAACATCTAGTAGGGTTTAGCTTTATAAGAATAAGAATAAGAATATAAGAATATATAGATGTAGATATACTAACAGTGCCTGAATTGTAGACTCGCATGGTCGTAAAAAAAATCATGTTTTGACGTTGGATCATGCGAATTCCTGTGAACAACATACGCATAATACAGCCCAAATTGGGTAAACAACACCGGCTATAGGCTATAGCTATTGTGGTTCGTATGCGTTTTACCGTTTATTCATAGCTCTAAACTAATTGAACAAATGAGGATCCAAATTGAATTTAAATTCAAATGCTAGGGAACATTAGATAAAAATTACCAAATGGTTCATTGTTCACCTTAAATATTACTAGTTAGAAGCTTCTAGCGCAGACTTCATGTTAGTCCCCACGAACGCGCTAGAAAAAAGATCAATTCTAAAAATTCTCATAACATTAAAAAAAAATTATCTTTATTTTGGTGGATTCTAATCATCATCAATATAATAACCATTGGATCTATTTTATTTTTCTATAAAATAACTCACCTCACCTTATGAAAAATATATAAAGTAGCCCTCTTTGAATCTGAATTACCCACCTCAACCAGTATAAAGATAATTTGAAATAACCTCTAAAACTGTACTAAATAACCCACCTTTGCCAATCTAAGTGAAACTCATCTGAACCCTTGAACCAAAATGACTTGATTGAGCACCAACCTATATTGTTTCCTTAGGTCAGTAGGTAGCTCCTAGAGGTGCTTGAGCCTTTTTGGCAAAAAAATTAGATCGGCCGACCTGGCACCGTCACATACCCTTTCAATCCACCGTCATCCTAAAGTAGATGTCCAAGATGTTCTCCTCTAGGTTGGTGGGTACAAAATCATTTAACTATGTCGAATGGGTCTATGAATCCATGTGCCATCCATTCTGTCCCTCGATTGAACCGACCGCAACTCAATGTGTAGGAATAATCCATAGTGTGTCCCTGCATGTGTACGAAAATGTAGCCCATTTGGGACAAATGACAAGTCAATTGACCTTGGGCATGGTCGACCGACCTCCCCTTTGCTCCATTTGCATGCCCCTTAGTTCCCTTGGGTGTTGTGATGACTAAGGAGCCTCTGGACCATGTTTAGGAGGCATTAGGCTCAAGTTTGGTTTGGTCGACCTCTTTGTCTCTCTCATTTTAGCCTTGTAATTCTTTAGAAGGCGTAACTTTTCCGTTCGGACTCCATTTTGTTCATCTCGACGAGCTCTTCGACTTAGTTGAGTCAAATTTGGCACTTTAGATTTTTTTTTGTAGTGATGACCATTTGGATGACATCTCAAGCCAATCTTTGCTTATACTCCCTTAATGCTTTTTCATGTATATTTCGAGCATAGCCTGCAAAACACACGGAACCACCAAAACTTGTGAAATAAATGATTATTATCTATGAAGGTAATATAACTTGTGTTATGTAAGTGGAGACAAGTTAATTGGGTATAATATTTGATAAATTTTGCACTAAAACTTTTCTGTTCCTATGAGGAAATGAACAATTGCAAACTAAGTTGTGATAATCTTGCTAAGAATTCACAAAATCTACCATAATTCACACTTTCATAAATATGTTGAAGGGATTGGTATAATACGTGACTTAGAGATTAGGGAGAAGTCTCTTTGATTGATAACTAGTTCAAACATCATATTGTACTTATTCCTTTGTATAACTTTTTCCTTTCAAGATTTCTCATATGAAGTTTTTATGGAGGTAATATCAACATAAGGTTATTATCATATCATCTATTTTCCTTGTAGGATTAGTCATGATATATTAGTCATATGGCCAAAGTTACTGTTCTTTAGACTATGGCTTTGAGTTTAACTAATGAGGGTCTAAATTGAAATAATTATGATGATATATCAAGATATTTCTCTTTATTTTTCATATGATTTTTTAGGAATAATCAGCAGATTGAGGATAGGGGGTGTTGTAAATATTTTGGTTAAATGAGAATATATGATCGGTGGACGCACCGTGACAACACTCGTCACTGTGACGGCGGCGGCACCAGCCGCCTGGTCTTGGTGGACGCGTCGTGATTCGTTTACTTGACCATGGTTGGCTCAATAATGTGAACGCCGACGGAAGCTTTATCGGCAGCCGAAGCGTCCTGGCCTCCTGGGACAGTGCGGTGCCTTTCCGCCGGAGCTCGTCGCCTGCGGCAGCAGTCGGCTTCGTCTAGCACATGGTTTTTATGGCAATACAGCCTTGCAGTATTTTATAGAGAGAGCACGTCGTCGTGCAGTGTACCCCCTCACAAGTGGGCGGCCAAGTTGCAGATCACACATTCACACAACGGACCGAGTTTGACTCGCAGCGTGGTTGCCGTGGTCTTCGTCCTCTCGTCCGTTGCAGTTGCAGTTGCAGTTGCAGTCCAGAAATGGAATTCTAGGCCTGCGCCGGTGCGGCCCTCTCTTGAGCGGTTGAGCCTCCTTCCATATATCCTCGTCTCCCTTCTCCCAACAGCAGAGCAGACGTTCATGCGTCCATCCATCCATCCATCGTCACTTGATCATACTTCCAATCTTGTTTATCCATGAATCCCCTGCATATATTGCTCACCCTTCTTCTCTTCACTTCCCTTCACACTCCACCATGTTCCGTTTCCGCCGCCGCCGCCGCCGCCACGACTGATACTCTAGCGGCAGGACAAGCACCTTCGGCGACAAGCTCGTCTCGAGGAACGGCAAGTTCGCGCTCGGCTTCTTCCAGCCGACAGCAGTCATCAGTAAGTCCCACAACATCACCTCCCCCAACTTGTACCTTGGCATATGGTTCAACAAGATCCCAGTTTTCACTACAGTTTGGGTCGCCAATAGAGACACGCCAATCACCAATTCCATGTTGAAGCAAACACACCTCAAAATCTCAAGCGATGGCAACAACCTTGCCATCGTAACCCAAGCCAGTCCTGAAACTGAAACCATAGTCTGGGCCACTCCCACTCCCAGTGCCAATCGGTCAGGAGCCAGCTTAAACACTACCACCACTGCCGTTCTCTTGGACAGTGGTAACCTTGCGCTCCTAGAATTAGAAAGCCCATCATCATCCAATGTGAGTTATGTGACCTTGTGGCAGAGCTTCGACTACCCGACCGACGTCGTGCTTCCGGGTGCCAAGTTTGGCCGGAACAAGGTCACCGGTTTCAGTCGTCGGGCCATCACATGGAAGAGCCTCATTGATCCAGGCCTCGGCTCATACTCCGTCGAGATCGACACCACCGGGGTGGTCCTCAAGCACCGCAGTCTGTCAGTAGTGTACTGGCATTGGTCATCCTCATCCACATCAACACTGAAGCTCATCCCCATACTCAAGTCCAGAACTGGATCCACGGACCAAAGGCTTGATTGACCCCACATATGTTGATAACAGTCAGGAGGAGTACTACATGTACACCTCACTGAATGAGTCATCTTTGGCGTTCGTCTCACTGGGCATCTCTGGCCAGATCAAGATGAATGTTTGGTCACACGCTCAGCAGTCTTGGCAAGCCATATATGCCCAGCCGGCTGATCCCTGCACACCGTATGCTACCTGTGGCCCCTTCACCACTTGCAACGGCACTTCCTCCCTTTCCTTCTGCGACTGCATGCCGAGCTTCTCTCAGAAGTCACCCCAGGACTGGGAGCTTGATGATCGAACAGGAGGCTGCATCAGAAATACTCCGTTACACTGCACCAGTGAGAAAAAACACGACAAGTTCAACAGACATTTTCCGCCCCATTCCTCATGTTACATTGCCCTATAACTCCCAAAGCGTAGACGGTGTCAACTTTCAGAGCAATTGTGAGGAGGCTTGTCTCAGTTCCTGCTCCTGCACTGCTTATTCCTATAACAGTAGCAGATGCTATGTATGGCATGGGGAATTGTTCAGTGTGAATCAGCATGACGGCATCGATAATAATTCTGAAGATGTTCTTTATCTTCGCCTTGCCGCCAATGATCTGCCAAGTTTGACAAGAAACAAAAGAAAACCAAGTGTCGGAGTTGTTACTGCAGCAAGCATTATTGGTACTGGGTTACTGATGCTCATGTTGCTGTTAATGATGTGGCGAAAAAAATCCAAATGGTGTGGTACACCATTGTATGACAGCCAAGGTGGTGGAGTTATAGCCTTTAGATACACTGATTTAAGCCATGCTACTAAAAATTTCTCAGAAAAGCTTGGAGCAGGTGGTTTCGGTTGTGTATTTAAGGGAGTGCTTAGTGGCTCAACAACTATAGCAGTGAAAAGGCTTGATGGTGCCTGTCAGGGAGAGAAGCAATTCAGGGCTGAGGTGAGCTCACTTGGATTGATCCAACATATCAACCTAGTAAGATTGATTGGTTTCTGTTGCGAAGGTGATAAGAGGCTACTTGTGTATGAACACATGTCAAATGGATCTCTTGATGCTCATCTATTTCAGAGCAACGCGCTGCTGGCATTAACTGGAGCACCAGGTATCAAATAGCCATAGGAGTTGCTAGAGGATTGTCCTACTTGCATCAGAGTTGCCAAGAATGCATCATACACTGAGATATTAAGCCAGAAAATATACTTCTCGACGCGTCATTTGCTCCTAAAATCACAGACTTTGGGATGGCAGCATTTGTTGGAAGGGATTTTAGCAGAGTTTTGACTACATTCAGAGGAACTGCAGGGTATCTTGCCCCAGAGTGGCTTGGTGGAGTCGCTATTATATCAAAAGTTGATGTTTATAGCTTCGGTATGGTGCTGCTAGAAATCATATCAGGTAGGAGAAATTCACCTGAGGCACATAGTAGCAACAATTATCATATTGAATATTTCCCTATGCGAGCTATCAGCAAGCTTCACGAGGGAGATGTGAGGAGTTTGGAGGAACCACAGCTACATGGTGACTTCAATTTGGAAGAGGTTGAGAGGGTTTGCAAAGTTGCATGTTGGTGCATCCAGGATAATGAGCTTCATCGGCCGACAATGGGTGAAGTGGTCCATGTTCTTGAGGGTCAGCAGGAGATTGAAATGCCCCCGATGCCAAGGTTGCTTGCAGCAATCACACAAGACACTGGAGCTATCACGGAAAGCTCTAATGCATCTTCGATGTGATAATTCATAATAATTGGTCACTTCTCCTATATTTCAGGTGCATGAATTAAGATGATTTCAGGCAACACTCTTGTACCACTAACCAGTACAAGTAAATTGTTACTTTTGTGATTTGTTGTTTATCTCTATATCATAATATATTAAATTTTTGTCCTTGTCTTCCTATAGAAAATAATTGTAAATTGTTTATTGTCTTTGTGCCAACACAAATCAGATTTTATTGGGTCTGTGGTTTTGTCTAACGAGTTTTTCTATTCTCAGTACCGAAAATTGCAGGTTGCGTCTACAGAATTGCAATGATGGGAATATGCAATTTTAGTATAAAATATATGCAATAACCGTCGTCTGAAAAGAATTTAGCAAGTCCCATACTTTACTAATATTTGTTTCAGACAATTTTAATGCTCAATTTGGAGCAGAAGTAATAGAGGAAGGCATTAGGCATACCTAAAATTTCTAAATTGCATGGACGCTTGTTGTCCCCTTTTCTCTCATTTTGCATGATTTAATGGTCGTTTATGGTAATCAAGCATTGTACTCGACAAACCTTTTCAACAGGCGTGGCAAAATTTGGCAGAACTAGATAGGTGTTTATGCTTTGTTTATGATTGGGATAGGACATATATTCTTAATTTGAAGGAAGAAGTATATATATTCCAATACTTAGTACTTCCTCCGTTCCAATTTATAATTCGTTTGACTTTTTTGACTTTAAATTTGACCACTTAGCTTATTCAAAAAATTTGTGTAAACATAGTCAAATTTAAATCATTTTTTAAGAACGTTTGTTAATAAAGCAAGCCACAATAAAAGAAGTGATATTTTTCACAAATTTTTAAATAAGACGAGTGATCAAACTTGTGGTCAAAAAAGTCAAAAGAACTATAATTTGGAACCGATTTAGTACTTATTTCTTGCTTGATATGCTGCCTCTAAGGTGCTTATTATTGAAATAAGCCACCACTAGGTTGGACCGTCAAATATAAGGATGCTGTTATGAAGGATAACATATCTTTTCGCCATAAAGGGACACTTTATATGGCCCATATTTCAGTTAGATCAATGCCTTTACCGAAGACTTGACTCAACAATCGAGGGAATAAAAAACTAAAATTACACTCTGATCAGGTATGATTGAGAGTTTCAAGCAACTACAATCCTGTTACTAGCTAAAATAAATAAATACAAACGATAACAGTGACTAAACAAGAACAATATTAACAAAAACGACAAATAAAATGCACTACTCGGTTGACATGTTGCAGTAACTACTGATTACAAATTACAATCCTGTTCACCAACAGAAGGATGAACAATCAAGAATTCAGAAATCATCTAGTACATAATAAGCAAAGATTCACAGCCACAAATAACAGATATCTACATAACCAGCAAAAGAGAAATACTTGAGTAATTACTAATTAGAAGAGGGATTGGAAGAGAACAGATTAAACAAATTGAGAAGCACTAGCCCAGTGTAGGAACAAGAGCAGAGATAGAAGCTGGGGAATGTTAGCCCCATCTCTTCACTGTGCTTATAAGTAATAGACAGTCTTTTGATTCTCCAAAAATAAAAAAATCTGGGAATAGTACCTCTGCCTAACAGGAATAAAACTATCACAGGCTAGGAAATTTGGTAGGGATGGTCTGCACCAAAACATGGTGCGGATGTGCAGCTGACGCATAATGCATCTGATTTAGCATACGTGCGGATAAAATGATACAGTAGCCCACATGTCAGCCGAAAAGTGCGCACCACGTCCTAGTAGGGACGGTCCTCCCCTAATTTTTTTTATGATATCCTGAAACTAAAATAAAGTAGGTACTAGATAGCATGGACAAGTTGCGACAATTCTCAGTTAACAACTCCAACGCACCAACGGTTCTGAATGCAGTATAGAAGCATAAGCACTGCTTCACAGTTACAAATTAAATAGTAAAAAATATCAGAATTTAACAATAAAACAGAAACAATAGAGGGAAGAGATCTAACAGATTGAAGAAGTAAAGTTGCAATGTATCTTTAAGGAAAGTGGAGCAGAGATAGAAGCCGAGGAAGACAAGTCTCTGTCGCTGTCAGTGGCATTGAAGCCGGTAAACGAACAGGGGCCAGGGGGGCGGCGGCGTGCTGGGGCACATAGATGAGGGCGATGGCTGGTGGCAACTGAGGTAAGGCAGAAGCGCGGATTAGTGGAAGCGGAGAGCAGGAGTCTTGGACGCCGGGAGGTGGAGAGAAGCAGATGAAGGGCTGTTTGGTTCGAACCAGAGACCATAGATTACTTTTTAGTCCCTTCTCTTTTAACCAAACACAAAGAATTACTAGAGCGACTTTCAGTCTCTAGTCTATTAGTTCTTTGGAAGAAGGTTTTTGGACTAATGGATAGGGATGAAAACGGATCGGATATGGACGGATATCACTGATATTACATTTGTTTTCATATTTCTGTCCGGATTCGGATTCAAATACGGATAGTGTCAACCATGCTGGATATGATACGATTGGATATTGACATCATAAATATACGATTTGAGTATTCGGATATGGACAGATCTAGACCGTTCTAAACGGATTCGGTCTCGAATACTATCGGACAATATCCGTACCATTTTCATCCCTACTAATGGATCAACTTTATAGCTCATACCCCTCCCTCTCTCTCCTCCCTCGCGAGTCACGCTCGCATCGGCTCGGTGGCTAGCACCCGCTCGGTGTCCGCGACGAAGGGGCCCGCTCGGTGGCCATGACCAAGGGCTCCGCCATCACGCAAGAACCCCGGCGAGCTCCCTCTCCCCGACGAGCTCCCTCTGTCTCCTTGCGCGAGATCCGACGCGGCCCCGTCCCAAGCTCCGGTGGGCGCGGCATGGCCCCCCGTCCTAAGCTCCGGTGGCCGAGCGCGGCCCTGGCCCCAGCTCCGGCGGGCACTCCCTCTCCCCGGCGAGCTCCCTCTCCCCGGTGAGCTCCGTGGCCTCTCCATGGCGGCGCTCCCCCACCAGTAGCGGTTTGCAAAGAAAAATGGTATTTTAGTATTTGTTCAGTCCTTTATTCTCTTTTAGTCCCTGGAACCAAACAAGTTATTTAGTCCCTCTTTTAGTCTATAGTCTATAGTCTCTGGAACCAAATAGGGCCGAAGATTCAAGATTTGCAAGAAAGTAGTAGTATAGGAATGGGTAAGAGCGTCTCTAGCAGTTTGATATAGTTTTTTTTGCTAAATTAATAGATCTAGGAATAATACGAATAGCAATTTTAAGTTGTCTTTCTCCAATCTTCTTCTATAATAACTTTCTAAACCATGCTGAACTATTTCTAGCTAACGAACATTTTTAATAGTTTTTTTTATCTCTTATCGCTTTCTCATCTGGATTCCTTTATTTTTTTTAATTTATGTATGTGTCTAATTTATTCCGATCTCCCAAAAAAACGCTGGATGGGAAGTGGATACAGAGTTCCTTTCAACTACTAAAACTTACAAGTTCGAGAAGATATTTGACAACATCTTATTTTTGAAAAAGCTTTTTTACTAAACTGTTGGAGGATACTTCTTCCTTTTTCTAAAATATCAAAATAGGGAGTGCATCTCCAGGAGTTATGTAAAACAACTCCCGATTTTGATTTTTTAGTAAAAAAAATCTCCTCCAATAGTGTTGTAAAAGGGCTTCTTAAGAATAAAAGTTGCCAAATGTTCTCTCTAACTCGTTAGTTTCCGGAGTTGAGGGGAACTCCATATCTACTCCTCATCCGCCATTTTTCTCGGAAGATCGGAATAAATTGAACGCATGACTAAATTAAAAAAATAAATGGTTCTAGATGAGAAAACGGTAAGAGACAAAGACACTATTAAAGGATAATTGGTTGATTAGAAATAGTTTGTGATTCCTAATGCAAAATCTTTTAGGAAGCTAATATAAGAAATTATTGGAAAGAGAAATAAATTGAGGTTGCTAATTATTTTCTTAACTCAATAAGCATATTGATTTATCAAGTTAATTATAGAAAACATCTAAAGTTGCTCGGGCAATCCCAATGGGACATTGATGGTAGTTTCTATCCCTCTTAATTACACTGACAGCTCAACAATTTACTGATGTAGCAAAGAAGTTATTGTAGAGAGAGGGCAAAGAAAGAAGAAATCGTTTCTTCCAGAAGGAACGACGTCCTCATGAGGATCAATGCACCAAGAAACGAGAGAAACTGCGTTGGGGAGAAACTATCGATTTCCATGGCCCTCCTGCAGATCCGGTGCGCCCCCCGCCGCGCCAAGCTTCGCGCGCGCTGCAAATCCCGTCCTCCCACGCTGCTCCCGTCTTGTCGCTGGCTCGCCGTGTTGACAATGTGATTTGGTAAGTTAGTTTATTTGGTCAGCCAAATTGCTTCAACTAATAGTAGTCATGTCAATCAGCAGAAACATACATTGCTTAAGAATTTGGACAGGTTCGAAGCAGGCTTGGCTGATGCGTGGTACATGATGCATATCAATGGTGGAGATTGTCAGGTGGCCACATTATTTTTACCAGCAGGTCAAACGTGCATGCTTGTGTGAGGTTTTGCATCTTGAAGAGCCAGATCAGATAGGAGTGACATGCATATTTAGAGTGGTCCTCGTCACAAGGATTTGTAGTAGATAATGGAGGCTCAGCACGCTGCTAGAGGCATGAGAAGGAAAGGACATGGATTTCTTCTTAAGAAGCTGCAGGGACAAAATTATATATTATCTACTATTACATGCATGACGTGCTTGATCAGGAATGAATCTGGGGAGAGAAATTCTCATCAAGAAGGAAACATGTGGACCATGTACGTGTTTGGTTTGGACTCAATTCAGTTATGTGGGAAGGTTTTCTATTTAGAATAAACTACGTATTCGGCTAGGTTTCCAATATACGGCCGATTGGATGTCTCAGAAGATACGTTTAACATTGTATAGTTGGACCTCTGTACGTACACCGTAGACCTGGTGCACTCTATAAAGGGTGATTGGCCGATTGTTTTGGTCTCTCTCTAG